CTGCATTATATGGAGAATATTATTTGACACAAAAAGGAACTAAATTGTACAACGGTCTTACTCCTTCTCTGGCTATAGTGACAGCATGTAGAGACATTAGTCAAACTTCGATGCAGATCCCAATAATATTAAACTGTCACTATGAAACATCAAATGAAATATTTACTGCAAACAAATAGCTGTCCTTGTTTAGCAGGGATGGGGGGGGGGGGAGAGGGCGCACGCGGGGAAGCGCATCAACACACACACACACATTAAGTTGGCTCAACACCCACGTCTCTTATTTTCAAGAGATTTGTATATTCTTGATGTTAAACTACATACAAAATTCTCTACTGTTCAGCGATGCTGGCTGCTGCAAACATAGTGTAGCTACTTGCAACATAAAAATAGCAACATATATTTAAAAAAAAAAGAACATTGTAGAAAAAGCTACACCTGTCTATCAGTTTGTTTAATCATTTATTTATTGGGATGAGTAAGGATCCATCCTAGATGACTGTGTATTAAAAAAGCCAGTATACAATATTTTAAAGGTACAAATGCAAAGATATCTAGCTGGAAACAGTGTCAATCCAAAAAAGACTTACAACCCACCAGAACGTAGGACTAAATCCAATTCTTCTTAACACCCTTATTCTTCTATAATCAACTCCTCATGAAAACCTAGGGAACGAGAGTGGGGTTGCTAAAGGTTCCTTCTCTGAAAGTCAACAAACTTAGGGTGTGTCCAACTGTCACACGGTGAAAAAAATGTAAAACACTGGCCTCTAATTTTGTGCTCACAAAATTCTACATGCATACATGGAATTATACATATAAAAATCAGGTCAGGATGAAAATGTACTGTCATTAATTTCAGTAGGTGCAGGATTTCACCCTAAGTATCTTTACAATATTATCACAATCTTACAACTTATTCTAAAATGATTGCTAATACTCATTTCTTAATATACTTCACAGATATCAGAGACTCCTGATACAAAACACTGCATTACAACCTGGAGTCCTCACTCATAACTAGTTTCTAATTCATGACTGTAGCTGGCTCAATAACTGGACATGGGGTGGGGAATGATTTGTGAATAATAATTGGACAATTAACAGGAAACATTAATTGAATCGATTATTTGCTGAATACTATTTAGCCACCTGTAACATTGGCTAGATAATGAAAAAAGCATCAATGTATTTAAATTCAAAACTAATATTTGTAATGAAGAATCATTCAGGCCACTTCAATCCATGAAAGATTACCTCTCACTATATGACCACTTAGGCCTCATTGACATACAAATAAATAATAATAATGATACCTCTTACAGCTCTTGTCATCAGGACAACACAAAGGAGGTCAGTATCATTATTCCCATTCAGAGATGGGGAAACTGAGGCACCAAGCAGTGAAGAGACTTCTCTAGGTCAGCTGACAAAACTGCACTAATTAAAGATGTTGTTTTAAAACTGGTTTAGTTCAAACCAGTGCAATGCTGTGTGTGGACACTCCTCAGCTGATTAAAAACCTGGTTTATACCAGTTTAGTTAAACCAACATAGGCATTTTTAAAGCAATGTATGTCCACACAGGGATTTGCACTGGCGTAGCTGAACCAGTGCAAGCTTGTGCGTAGACAAGACCTTATTGTAGTTTCCTTAATATCTCCTTGTAATGGACCCTATCCAAGGGCTTTGGCAAAAAACATGTTTTGTTATAAAGCAGATGCTGTGTGGACCACATTTGTTCAATTTCACTTTTCAGAGTGAAAGATTAGCTATTTGTTTTCCTCCCCTCAGTGAATTCTTGGGCACATACACAATGACTTGGTGTTCTTTCATCATTACAGTTTAGTGAAATTGAAAGGCTCTTTCTTTAAAGCTTTATAGGACTGCATCTTATTAATGATCTTATATGGATTGGATTGGCTGGATTGGGTGGCTGGATTGGATCACTTTGGTTTTTAGATCCCGAGAACTTTTTAAAATATTGCTTGGAATCTTCAGCTTTCCAATTTGATGTGAAAAGTGCAAGCTAACTCTCAAATCATTTTAACCCTCCAATTAACACATTCAGCTAGTAGTGGAGATGGCGCTGAACGAGCAAACGTTAAGCATTAGTAGTAGTAGTAGAGATTTTTGCATGCAGACAGCAGCTGAGTTAGTAACTCTAACAAATTCATTACAGAGTTAATTTACACAACCGTTTTGAACTTTTGCCACAGTGTTTGATATGCAGGCGTGGATGGGATAAATCTTCAGCTATGTTGGAGGAGAGCTCAGCACAGCTGAAGGGAAGGAAAAGGCAAACTGTTCTCCTACCCACCTTTCTAACAATCCTCTGGCTGCCCAGGGCCATAACTAGCCTCTGGCACAAGTCAGGGCGGCTTAAGGGCTGCTCTATCATTGCTTGCAATGCTGCCCTTCCCTTCCCTCCCCAAAGCTAATGAGGATTACTGGTTACAGCATGCTGCAGCCCCATCTTTTTAACCTTTCCCACACTCTGGCCCTCCACCTAGTCCAGAGAGGCTGGCATAGAGCCAACATAGCTAACTGCACAATACCAGCAATTCCCTTATATCATGGGAATCCCCAACTGCCCACTGCAGCAGCTTTCTGGCTGCTTTTGCTACCTAAGCACCAGGAATGCAGCAACTGTTTGGCACGTATACGATTCTGCAGTGATGAGCTTCTTAGGATAGCTATAAATAAAATAAATGAGTATCTTTATTCTCATGATGGTGTTAATAAATTCTTTGTTTCAGCATGTTAGAGCATATGGTCAGAGTTAAAAACAAAAACCCAATTAAGATTTTTTTATGTGTTGCCTGAAATTTTTACCTGATAACATTGTGCTAGGTTGGTTTAAAGCTCATTGAAACTGTGTGTGTGTGAGAGAGAGAGAGAGAGAGCCATCTTTCATATGGGATAAATGCAGGAAACAATTAAGTTCCTTTATGGACTCAAGAGACCTGGATTCAATTCCCAGCCTTGCCACTGGCCTGCAAGATAACCTTGGGCAAGTCATGCCCTCTTTCTGTGCCTCAGTTTCCCCTTTTGTAAAATGGCGATAATTTGAAAAGCACTTTGAGATCTACTGATGAAAAGCTCTGTATAAGAGCTAGGAACTGCTAATATTATTATGAACTGGATTGCTGGAGCAATAGGAGCCTTCACCCAAAACACAAAGACACCCAAGGCTTGCCAGAAATAGCGCTATGTGGGTGGGGGGGGGGTTCTCTGGGGATTGTTTGGTAGAGGTGTGTGTCTCTGTGAGAGAAGTAGCAGAAAGAATCATAGAATATCAGGGTTGGAAGGGACCTCAGGAGGTCATCTAGTCCAACCCCCTGCTCAAAGCAGGACCAATCCCCAACTAAATCATCCAGCCAGGGCTTTGTCAAGCCTGACCTTAAAAATATCTAAGGAAGGACACAGCCACAGAAGCACTGATGCTCTTGAGAAAAGGTTGAGCGAGAACTTTTGGGCTAAAGTGCTGGCAGGAGCCGTGAGCAAAGAAACTGTCTTTGCTGTGGTTTGATTCCTGCTGTGTTCAGGGAATCAGTCCTTTGTACAGTCTTTGTAAATAAATGGGATTGCGTCAATCTTCAATTTCTCCTCCCCAGGAGAACAACCCTCAGGACCCTGGCTAGCTGGTTTGGTCAAAAAGGAGTAACAATATCCTACAATAAAACCCTATTAAAGTGCAGGAATAGTCAGAAAGTACCATTTCAGCGTAGCCTTTCTTACTCAACAGATCTGTATATACACAGAGTCCTATCTGCTTACTGCAGCTTTATATTCCCATTAACACAGCAGAGCCAATGCACCTCTGGGAAAGAGACTTGGATTCCATCCTGCCTTATGCATCAGCTATGCAATTGCTAACTAAGTTCCAGGTGCAGAATCTTTATTACTGATGATGATCAGCAAGCCAGAGAGAACATAGCCCGACTTTCACAGCCCAGGTTAAGTTTGCAGAAGTAGCAGTTGGAAAACAATTTTTTTATTCGTAAACCAAGCTAACGGAGGGAATTTGATCTGGAAGTCCTTCAGAGATGGAGCTTCCCTCCCCCGAGTGTCTATCAGCACTTTAAAAGATGTAGGGACAGATCGTCAGCCGATGAAAATTGTCATAGCACCAATGACTTCAAATGCCCCATAAACTCTGCTTGTCATGAACTAAATATTAAGGAATACTTTAGAAGGGGTACTATCAACTTGAATTTTTTTAAATTAATAGAAGTTGATGATAGATTATATGTCCTGATTTTTGATTTTAAGTTTTTATAAAGGTTTTTCTACTCCCTTGCTGATATTTATAAGCAATCCTTTACGCACGAGTGACTTCAGTGTTTCTAGGATCAAAGCCACAGAGAGCAAAATTCCAAATATGCTTAGGGCTACCCCCCCTTTCTTCTCTTCTGGACACTCACCTGCCTACTGCCTCTTCAGTTTCAGCCTTTCTGCTGCTCTCACTCTCTGGCAAAGCAGGTATATAAGCTCCAATCTGAGCAGTGCATGACGGAGACACCATAATTCTGATTCACAAGACAAGTGCAACTGACCATCCACAGAATAATGAAGTTCACCATGTGCAAAATGCTGTTGAATGCATACATTAAAGTGAAACAAGAAAATATTCCTCCCCATCTTTTCACTGTTAGTGATATTTTGCATTACTTGTAACTATACTAGGTACAAATTATTCAGACAGATATATGGTTGTCCATTTGATAGATTCAACATTTAAAGGGACATGATCATTTTATTGCTACTTATTTCACTAAAACGTCCATATCTATAGAAAAGCTGACAGCATGTATGGGACATTGCAGTTTTTATCTGAACCTGCTTTACATGGGAAAGTACTTCAATGTGTTCAAAGAGCAAAAGTTAATTTGTTTCCTTTTCTATAACTTTTTAATTACTATAGTCTTATAGTAGATCTAGAAAGCCATTGTATGTTGCTTTGTTTTCTCCTAATATTAAAAAAAAAATTCTTTGCAGATGATGTGGAAACCTGCATATGATTTTCTGTACACATGGGGCGCTCACTATGGAGACAGCTACAGAGATGTGTTACAAGACCTGCAGTCGGCTTTGGACAAAATGAAAAACCCTTTGACCAAACAGTGGCGAGAGTTAACTGGAGCTTTGATTTTAGTGAACTGCATGGAGACCTTGAGGGCAAATGCTTTCCCCAAGAAGGAGGAAGACTAGTGTCATAAATATAAAGGGAAAGGTAAACCCCTTTGAAATCCCTCCTGGCCAGGGGAAAGCTCCTCTCACCTGTAAAGGGTTAAGAAGCTAAAGGTAACCTCGCTGGCACCTGACCAAAATGACCAATGAGGAGACAAGATACTTTCAAAAGCTGGGAGGAGGGAGAGAAACAAAGGGTCTGTTTCAGAGGAACAGCCGTGTTAGTCTGTATTGTCTGTCGGTATGCTGGTTTCTGCCAGGGATAGACCAGGAATGGAGTCTTAGAACTTTTAGTAAGTAATCTAGCTAGGTATGTGTTAGATTATGATTTCTTTAAATGGCTGAGAAAAGAATTGTGCTGAATAGAATAACTATTTCTGTCTGTGTATCTTTTTTGTAACTTAAGGTTTTGCCTAGAGGGGTTCTCTATGTTTTGGAATCTAATTACCCTGTAAGATATCTACCATCCTGATTTTACAGGGGGGATTTCTTTATTTCTATTTACTTCTATTTTTTATTAAAAGTCTTCTTGTAAAAAACTGAATGCTTTTTCATTGTTCTCAGATCCAAGGGTTTGGGTCTGTGGTCACCTATGCAAATTGGTGAGGCTTTTTATCCAACATTTCCCAGGAGAGGGGGGGTGCAAGTGTTGGGAGGATTGTTCATTGTTTTTAAGATCCAAGGGTCTGGGTCTGTAGTCACCTAGGCAAATTGGTGAGGCTTTTTACCAAACCTTGTCCAGGAAGTGGGGTGCAAGGTTTTGGGAAGTATTTTGGGGGGAAAGGCGCGTCCAAACAGCTCTTCCCCAGTAACCAGTATTAGTTTGGTGGTGGTAGCGGCCAGTCCAAGGATAACGGGTGTAATATTTTGTACCTTGGGGAAGTTTTGACCTAAGCTGGTAAAGATAAGCTTAGGAGGTTTTTCATGCAGGTCCCCACATCTGTACCCTAGAGTTCAGAGTGGGGGAGGAACCTTGACAACTAGAATCCCAAATTCTTTTATGGACTATCTATTGGAAAACTATGGTGTTGATTTTTATACACTTCAATTATTTTTAGGACCCTGATTTTTGAAAAGAGAACAGATCCTTTCATTTTAGCATATTTTTTCTGCACTTATATGTGTTACAGCACAGACCACATGGAACACAATTTACCCGAAGGACCCTCAGGGCTTGCAGAATAATATTTTGAGGACCATGCAGGGGAGAAATTGGAGTTAGGAGGTAAATTAGGTCCTTGAAAAGATTTTAATTCCATGGACCAATTCCTAAATGAAAAATTCACAAGACCACAACTATAGCTTCTAATAAAGCCAACTTTTTATTTTGAGATCAATTAAGCCCCACATGTTCTGGGCTGCTCTGATAGTATTCACTCAGTATGCCCCAAAATTTCAAAAGTGACAATTTGGGTTCCAATCCTGCAAGTTGCAACACATGGATCAGCCACTGAGCTCATGCGGAAGACCCATTGGAGTCAATGGGATTCCGTGCAAGCACAGAGGATGTTGTGAAGGCCAAGACTATAACAGGGTTCAAAATGGAACTAGATAAATTCATGGAGGACAAGTCCATCAATGGGTATGAGCCAGGATGGGCAGGGATGGTGTCCCTAGCCTCTGTTTGACAGAAGCTGGGAACAGGACACAGGGGATGGATCACTTGGTGATTACTTGTTCTGTTCATTCCCTCTGGGGCACTTGGCATTGGCCACTGTCAGAAGAGAAGATACTGGGCTAGATGGACCTTTGGTCTGAGCTGGTATGGCTGTTCTTATGTTCACACTGCTGTGCCTTTTCATAATCAGTTGCAGTATTGGGAGCCTCACTGCAAGTTTCTTGGGTTTGGGGTGTCCAGAAGAAGATATCTGAAAATCAGACTGAAGGTGTGGTGAGCTCTTGTAACGCCAATGGAAGTCAATGGCAGTAGAGCTGGCTGGGAAACCAAATATTAGTTCCATGACATTTTTTGGAATTTTTCACCCCAAATCAGGATGCCTGGAATCCATCAGGAGTTTCTTAAAATTGAACCTTTTCCACAAAACACTGCCATTTTGATGAATAGACAAATTCTGCCAAAAATGTTTTGTCAGAATTTTTTTAACCAGCTCTAAACAGGAGCTCAGTACTTCTGTAAAGGCCAGGGTGTCTTAAATTGGGCACCCAGAGAGAAGGGCACCCAAATTGGTGGCCACATCTGGAAAAAATTGGCATATTGATGCAGAAATAGCTCACTATATTTTGTATCACTAAGTCTGTATACATGATGCACAGTGGAATTTTACTAATCTTTCTTTTGCATGCTCCCCAAAAGGAGTGGAATCAGATAAAAAAGGCTGATTCATACCAAACAGTTATCAGAATGGTGGCCACATCAGATGATCCTGTATATAAGCCACTGCCTCTTATATAGCTATTTTGAATGGAAGAGAGCGGCTTGGTGGGTAGAGACAGAATGTATATGCCATTATTGTACATAACTCTCATCTGTGCCATTACTGAGGGAAAATGGGAGAGAGAGGCAGCTAGTATTTTGTCAAGAAAGGTATGTGCTGGTCCTATTGGTAACAAAAAGGGTTTAAGTTAGGTTCATTTATGATTTATTTTTGCAGCAATTCATACGTGCCTGATTTCCACTGATTACATGCTCTGAAATAACCTGGCATAGATACTCTCAAATGAAGTCTGACCAGTGGCCAGAACCAAGCTGCAGTAAACGTGGCACCGCCTTATGGATAACACTGGTTTGTGTAACACCCCCAGTCCAACCAAATAATTCCTGGTAAATGGGATGGCATTTAAAACAAACAAAAAACCAAACTTTTGTTAGCAGGAAGGTAGTGGTAAAAACAGAAGCAACCTGCAAATAACTCACAGAGCATCTCTGGTAAAGGAGCACCTGAAGGCTCATTTGGATAAACTGGCAAACTCACTGTTTGCCAGCAGTGGTCTGGTTGAAAAGCAAGCCTGAGAGCTGGTGGCTGGAGAGACAAAGGCAAGTTCTACTCAGAGCTGTGCATGAACATCTCAGGGCACAGCTGGTTCTTTAATTGCTTCATTTGAGAGTAACGTCCTTCTACATGATGAGTCTAGAACAAAATAGCACATTTACATTTTTTCTTCCTGGGCCTTTCTTTAACAAGTTCCATTGCACAGTCTCTAGGTAGGAAGAGCTTTGGATGGGAGGATAGGGCACAAACCCAGAAGACCTTTGCTAAATACTCAAGGCCTGATTACCTTACTTACACTGACTTTGCACTCATGTAATGCAGTTGGCTTCAGCAGAGTTACTCCTGCTTTGCACTAGGGTGAGCAAAGAATTGGGTTCACTAAGTATTAATGCAAAAAAGCATCTTCTGTGGTGATCAAAGGAATAAAAATAGAATTTGAATACACGGACTATGTAATGTAGCCTTCTGTGTCCCAAAGAGACATTTACACCCACACTGTGCTGGCTCTGTGCAGTTGCACAAGGAATTGGGGATAGAAGGTACTGCAGAGCTTCCCCATTGCCTTGCACATCTATGCAGGGGCCAGCTATTGTTCCCTGTTAGTACCACAGGTGGCAATGAACCCCCTAAGCAGAGGGGAGGAAGGGACGGGCCATGGCCAATGTCCTCTTTCCCTCTTACACTGCTGAGGTGTGTGAAAATGCACACAGTACCTTCTTAAAGAGTAGTGAGGGGCTCCTACATTGTGGAAGGATTCTGGTTACATCTCCCAGAATGCCTCCTGGGGTTCCTACTTCAGCATGGCTCACCGCCAATCCTGCTAAGGGCAGATTTCATTATGGTGCCGTGGTTGACCGACCCATGCTCAATGTCTTTGCTAGTGATTGGGGTGAATAAGTACTTTGCTACTCCTTACACTCCCTAAAAGCAGACTGACTTGACTCAACCACACCACTCCTTGCACTTCACAGTGCCTTCTGACACCTAGAGATGAATATGCCACCTGAACATAACCCCTTCTTTGATGTCAAGCTCTGTTCAGCTTCTCTGCTATTCCCCTGGCAGCAACCACCACGTAAGTCCTCTTACATCTACTTCTGCTGCACTGCACATATCTCCAATTTCAATGCCATTTTTTGCATTTCTTCTTATCACTAATGCCAATGCTGTTGCTTTTTCCTCAGCAATAATAATAATAATAATAATAATTAATGAAAAAGGAAATCATAAGAGTTGCTTCCCAGCTACAAGAGATAAAAATGCAGCCCAGAGCTATGAGTTACCAAATGGCCACTTCAGGGTTCCAGCTGCTTGGTTCTGTCAAGCTTAAAGGGCTAGCCCCAAAAAGAGGCATGCTGGGGAAAAAAGTTCCTGTGATAGGGCAACTCTGCGCTACAGAGAAATCACAGTGACCAGGAAATCACTAAGGAGCTTGGCTTGTTTTGATGTTATTCCTACTATTGCTATACCATCTCCTCTGATTTTAGCCCTGCACCACCAATGAAGTATGACACTCTCAAACTAGAGTTGAATTTGGCCCAAATTATTTAGCAAAATATTGACTTATTGAGTCAGTCAGCTCCTCAGTTTGTGATATTATGTGATTGGCCCTTGAAGTTTGTTTATATTCTGTCCAATTAGGTTGTGCTCTGGGGCCTGCAGCTGTGGCCTTTATTTGCTAATTCCACTTTCATTTTTGCTTTGTACTTCTCCCCATATGAATGAAATGTGCACTTGTGCAATACTTCTGTTTACTTTAGCAGCCTACGCTCAGTGTAAAATAATACAGAATAAACTCCACATTTTATTGCTGAAATATTTTAAACCACAAAATGCCAGTTCTGCTGAGAGTGGAAACAGCTGCTTTCAGCAGCAGCAGCATAGAGTTAGGAGCATATGACTGGTGAAAACTCTCTTGGTCTTGATTTCTCTTGAGGGGAATGGAGTGGAAGGGAGAGGAGAGGAGAACTGCTCTCTCATGAGCCAGCTCACATACCTTCTTAGGTCTCTGTGGGGAAGGATGAAAACAACAACCTCTCCCTGCTCCTGGGCGAGGAGAAGAAATCCCCTCCCTAGTTACCATCCTTCAAAGACCCCAGCTTTCCCCATTTCTTTTGTTGTCATTATTGTCTTTGAGCAATGAGAAGTCTGGGAATGTTAGCCAACTCCTTTCACCTCTATAGTCTTCAGTGGAAAAGAGGCTTTAACCTAGCCTCCCTCATCACTGGGCAAAAGAATTCAATATTCCACCCCCTTTTGCAAGGAGAGGGTCTTATTGAGATGGGGGCCTGCTCCTGCCCTATCTGAGGGTGAGAATGGGGATCAGTCCTACTGTAGTGGCCCTTCATAAGGCAGACACTCCCACAGTGCAATGGACTAAGGGAGACTCTTCCCAGATGACTCACACAGGAGCAGGTTTCCTCCTGAACCTGGGAGTCAATTCCCTTAGGCCAGTGCTGAGGTATTTCTGCCCCACAGTATTTAATGGGCCTC